CAATGGCTGCAGTGAAGAGGTTTGCGCCCATAAGAGTTTGAACGCCCAGAAGAATTTGAATGCTGATTGTTTCGAACTGCCATAGCTACTGGTTTGGTGATTGCTTGGCTGGAACCCAAGTCAAGCTGCTTTTCTTCTTGGGTGATCAAAGAATAAGCCTTGTGAACCTTAGGGAGAGGCTGCATAAGAAGTATCTGGCCTCGAATGGCACTGTAGGACTCATTAAGCCCCATAAGGAACTGCATCAACGAGTTTCGTTCCTCCTGTTCAACATGATTCTTCATGGCACCGCAAGAACAAGCTGGGACGTCACTGTAAGAAGACAGCTCGTCCCACAGACTCTTCATCTTGGTATAATAAACAGCAAAGGACCTCTACTCCTGTGAGAGGGAAGCTATGGTGCATTGTATCTCGAAAATACGAGGAGCGTTAAGTTGGGAAAAACGTTCTTTAAGGTCCTCCCAAATCTCTTGTGTGGTGGAGTATAACACGCTTTCTGCAATATCTGGTTCTATCGAATTGAGCAGCAAAGATAAAACCATGTCGTTGCAACGCTGCCAAACCTCAAAACTCTCAGGATTAGTTTTCTTCGAAGGGGCTTTGATTGTCCCATTCACGAACCCTAATTTGTTCTTCGCGCTTAGGGAGATGCGCATAGAGCGGCACCATGTCGCATAATTGTTTCCATTAAGGATTTTGGAAATGAGAACCATTCCAGGATGATCGGAATAGTGAATGAAAAAGGGATCGGAAGCATCGTTTTTGCTTCCTGATGTAGCGGATTCTTGGTCTTTGGTCATGGTGGCAGCGGCAAGGAAAGGATGAAAATTAGGGTTGAAAGATGACTATTTGATAGGTGCGGCTAGGGCCAAGAGCTAGAGTTTCCTATGCTCTGATACCATGTAAAATTGGTATGAAAAGATATTTGACCAGAATGAATTCTCATTGATCGTTGTTGTATGTTTATATAATACATTCCGTAGGTTTCTCCTACAAGTAAGCTAACTAGCTAGGAAAGAATATATACAGGAAATCAAATAATATAACATTCCTATTCTATTATACAATCCCTAAACTAAAGGATAATCTTTGATTCTCAAAATGGAGGGAACCCTTTGAGATAATAGCAAGTATCAATCGTGTAAGTATCTCCATTGCAGTGAGTAACATCGAGTCTCTTTTTGGCTCCCACGAAAAGAAGGAGGTTGTGAGTTCTGTCCTCGTTGTGAATTATGTCCTTGTTGTGAACGACATTGATAAGCGGGTTTAGAAGAACTCCCTTTCTTTTTCTAGATACTCAACATGGCCATGCTTTCTGTATTTGCATGGGTAGTGGTGATTTCATGTTGTTTCTCTTCCTGTGAAAGTAGGGAATATGCCCTTCGAACTAATGGCAAGGGCTCCATAAGGAGAATCTGCCCTCGGATCACTGCATAGAATTCATTTAGTCCCATCAAAAATTGCATCAAGCGTTGTTGTTCCTTGTGCTAGGCCAACGACTTCTTTGCTCCACATGAGCAAACTTCTGTATCAATGTAGGAACTCAGTTCATCCCAATAGCTCTTTAGTTTTGAATAATATGTTGCCAGAGGCATCTGATCTTGCGTATGTGTCGCTATGCTGCGTTGAATCTAAAAACGGGAGGACGTGAGGAGGTGAGGAGAGAGAAAGAGAAATGGAAGAGGAAGAGACAAAGAGGAGGTGGCACGTCGACAGAGCTAGCGCGAATGTCTTCGGTGTGGATGGGCAAGGTGGACTTATTGTCGGGGTGGGCAATGAGGGGTGTTTTTTGATTTTCTCTTTTTCTAATTTTTAATTTTTAAAGATAATTATTTAATATCTTAACAGTATATAATTTAAATTTTCCTTAAAATTACGAATTTGCCCTTATTATGGATGGAAAGTGGAAAATTTGATGGTAAGGGGAGATTGGCTATTTTTATATAGTTTGTATCCTTAATTTACAAAAAAAAATTATATTGGGGGTCAAATTGACAATTATGACATAGTTAAGGGGGCAAGATGACAGTTTAGCAGGCAAAAAAAAAGGGAAATGGTCGGCCCGGCCTGAAAAGTCCACTTAGGCCTGACCAAATAGGCGGACTTGAGCTGATCCCTTTCAAACTTCTGCCCAGCCCAAAATAAATAAATAAATAAAACCTTGACAAGGCTCGACTCGGCCCAAAAATTTAGGGCCGGACGATGCCTATCCATAACATCTATCTCATCAAAGAAAGCATGGTGAATTGGCTTTTGGCTTGTTGAATTTTTTTTTTGGTCAACATTGAACTTTATTCCAAGCCAAAAAAAAAAATGGCACGAAACTTATAGAAGAGGGGAAAAACTAAACCAACATTGGAAAGCCTTTCAACTGAATACTACCTAGTAAAGAAAAACCTCCCATTTAGGGCACTTCCACCTCAGAGTTCAGTATGGGCAAAAGGCCCTCCCAAGTTGAAGAAACCCATTCCATTGCACAAATCCAGCCTGGGTAGATGGTGGGCTCCACAAAGATTGGGCAGGCTCGAAGGCAAGAACAGCCCGAGATGTTGCATGAGGGCACTGACGTCAACAAAGAAATTTTTTTAAAAAAATAAAAAATAAAAAATAAAAAATACCAAAAAATTCAAAATCTTTTTTTATACATACCTAGCAATTTTTTTATTATTAATCTTATACATAAAAATAAAATTAATCCCATGTGAATAGTAATTGCCCTTGGGTTGCCATGACAATGGGTGGAAATAAAAAAAAATAGAGATATTTAGTCATATATCCATTCTAAGTACTAATATAGATAAACCCTACACCATTTAATTTTTATAAAAAAACCAAAAAATGACAATGGCCCTATTGAATTTAATTTTGATTATTAAATTACTTCGATGCCCTATTGAGTTTTTTGGGTATTTTTATAAGATTTTGGGGTTGGGCTTGTTTTAAGAAATTGATGGCACTTTTATAATTTATAAGAAGTTAAAAGTCTCTTTGTTATGTTGTAAATAGGCTTTGAGTTTGTTTTTAAAATCCATTTCATATAGGGTTTTTTTTTTTTAATAATTTGGGCCCTTATATTGAGTATAATAGTAAATCTCCCAAAAAAATATTGCTAGGCAAGCAGCTTAATTGCCCTTGCCTTTTGCCATGGCACCATAGGTGAAAGTGCTTTTAGCCATCAAAAATATAAACCAAGCTTTTCGGTTGTTGAATAAATGCACAAAAATTAATTCATTAGCAACTTCAACTTCTTTGTCTAAAATTTAAACAATTCCGATTTTCATCCTCCATTTTGTTTTAAGTTTCTCAAATGCCGCATTTGAAAATATCATCCAGTTCTGATCTTTTTGTTGACAGGATTTTTTGTATCATATAAGCAGCAAATGTTCATGCTGCCTGGTACCAAAATCCCAAAGGGGATACTTATGAATCAAGTTATTTTGTGGTAGACTGAGATCTCAAATAAGACTAGTAGTAGTGAATTATATAACTCAATAACAGCCTTCACTCGTCTATACAAGAATCAAGCAGAGCTAGCTTGGTTGTACAAAAGATCATCTCTCTCCAGATAGCTGTTAGCTTACGCAAATTTGGTTATCTTGTTTCTTTCTTTTTGGTCATGTTTGTGTTTGTGCTAAAGTAGCCAAAATATTACCCTAAACATTACATACACTTCAAGCAACTCAACTGCAAAAGAGATTCTTGCTTCTGCTCAGAAGAATGATTCATCCAAACCCACTCTGTACAACTCTACCTGCAAAATGATAAAGTTATGTTAAATGTCCCTTCTGTTTTTTTTTTAACTTTCAAAAAAGCGTTTTTGCCGATCATTTTCTTCATTATTATATGGTTACCCAAGATAACCCTGTAAAAGTGTTTTTCTCACTATTACTTGAATGCAAACAAAGAATCCGTCAAAATGTTTTAACTATCCCCACTATTAGTTGCCAAGCTTTGAACCAATCAATTTGAATAGTAGCAAGCTAGCCGTGCCAGCAATTCTATGCATTATGTCATATCACTAATTAAACACTCATTCTTTAAACTGAAAGCTATGGGTGTAAAGAGAATATATCCTTCGGTCATGGCTTATTTGATGAATTTCACAATTTATATTCCCTATCCTTGTATGCATACATCTTGACTATAAAATTATTAACATAAATGTGTGTGTGTGTGTGTGTTTTATATAGAAAAACTTAACATCAATCTTCAAGAAAGCTGCTTTGATTTACTAAAATGAATATGTGCTTTTGAGAATACATCATCAACCACATGCAACGACAGAGCAAACACAAAAAAATCATACCTTTGCTTTGTCCTGATACTACTTCTTGTGGATGCAGAAATATGACCTCTTTTATCTTTCGCGTTGCTTTTCTTGGCTTTGGATTTTGAGGCCCCTGTCATATCATCAGTTTAGCACAAATGTACAACACAACTGCGTTAAGAAAAAGCTACGGTGCTTACTTAAACTACCTCTTATGTTAACATTTGGCGATTGAACTTCAATATCCCCTGGTTCTGATTCTGTCAACTCACTAGAAGTACCGGAATATTCTTCTGACTCAACAAGTCTAGATTTTGACATGTCATCCACAGACTTGGTCATCCCTTCGATAGAAGGATCAACAACTTCCCCATCTATTTCTATACCAAAAACCCAAGGTTAGACCCTAACCACAGAAATTCAGAAGCATAAAACATGCATGGAACAAATTCTTTAGTATGACATCCACTGCTTTCAGTTCAGCATGCCACAGCAATGACATCCATCAAAGAACATAACAATCCTAAAATCTTGAACACCTGGATAAACTGTGAAGTCTGAAGGACCAACTATCATGTTTGATCCTCAGAATCAGAACCTTCTTCAGAAATTATCATAATTCCATATTAGAGCACCAAAGCATAATCAACACCAAGCATATATTCCAATTCCATTGGTTATCACAGTAACTTGATTAAGCATAAATTAATTGCTC